AGCACCTGGCGCATCTTGGCAAAGAACTCCACCCCGTCGCCCGGCTTCCTGCGGGGTGGCCACCGGCTCAGGACAGGCCCGGGCAGCGTGTGGGCCTGTGGGGTGACCTCGGCAGCCCCCTGCCCCGCGGGCCCCAGCGCACCCACCAGGCCTCCTGGGAGGGCGCCGGGGCGTCCGCGGCGGCACTGCCGGCCTCCTCCTCCGTCCTGCGGCGGAACGGCGGGCACACCTGCACCTGCCTGAGCACGGTGCTCTTGAGGTCCAGGAGGGTGGACATGGCCTGTGGGTGGAAGGGCAGGCGCTGCTGGGGCCCCTTGCTCCCTCCCCTGGGCGCGCCTTCCTTCCCTCTCGTGTGGGATCACTGTTCCCACATGGTCTCTGAGAATCTTGCCTCCTGCCCCCATAGTAAGCAGTTCAACAAGGACCACTCTTCCAGACTCCAAGCTGACACTTCCTGAATCCACCCAACTCTAAGCAGCACCACCGTCCAGCCCAGAACGGAGCCACAGCGGAGACAGGACGGAGAGGCAGAGGCCTCTCTGGGGGTGGGGGTGGCCGAGAGCCACCGAAGGCAGGGGCTCCCCCACCAGCCCAGCCTGTGGTGGGCGCCCAGGAGGCCAGTTGACCTGGGAAGTCATCTCGTCACTCCTGTCCCCACCTACACAGTGTGGCCTGCAGGGCATGATGGAGGATGGGTATAGGAGGCACCACTAGGCACAGGGTCAGGGCTCATCTGAGGGACCTGCTAGGAGTCAAGGGAGGGCGTGTCCTGCCACACCCAACACCCAGTGTGCTCCTCATGGCTGCTGGGACCCCTCTGTGCTCCAGAGATCCTAGGGCAGGGTGACAGGAAGTGCCTGCTCCCCCAGCCACGACTGCTCTTGGGGCTTTGCTGAGGACCAAGGACCAAGGATGTTGGGGACAATGCCCAACTCAGTTGCCATGGCCACACCCCAGGACCCCATCTATACCTGTTCTTATGGCCACCCCAGAATCACAGGATGCCCATCAACCAGGTCCCCACATCACCCCCAGGACCCCCATCTACCAGGTCTCCACAGACACCCTCAGGACCCCCATCCACTGGGTCCCCCAGCCATCCCCAGACACCCAGGGACACTGCAGGTGACAAGCCACAGGGGGGCGCGCAAAGGAGCCAGAGCCAGTGGTCTCTAAGTGCAGGGGCCTCAGGCCACATGCCAGGTGGGTGGCTGCTCCCAGGACAGGATTTGCTGCAGGGTGGTGGGGGGCCCTCGCTCACTTGTGTAGCCTGTGTCCACACACATCCTTAGCCCTACGGGTTGCTCAGCAAACCCTCGGGGACAGTGGAAGTGAGGGAGGGTGGCGGCCCCAAAGTGGAGTTCACCAGGCAGTGACACAGGGCAAGTGGGGCCCCAGATGAAACCGCTGTGGGGTGGGGCGTGCCGTGCCGTGCTCTGGATCTCAAAGCCACCTGTCCGGTCCCTTCCTGCTGCTGCCATGGTGACCCGGCGGCCCTGCAGTACCTTCTCCGAGCAGAAGGAGCTGTTGATTGACGAGGCATCAAACCCCACAGCCCCTGCTCAGGTGCCCATGGGAGGCCAGCTCACCCTGGCTCATGGCCGTCGGCAAGGGGCTGGGAGCAGAGGGGGAGGGGCAGTTCCAGCCTAGGAGGTGCCGGAGCAGTGAGCCCAGCAGCCGGCACTCCGGCCAACCCACCCTTTCCAGAGAGGATCCTGCCGGTCCTGGGTCTGAGCCAGCCCTCACCCACCCCTCAGGAGTGTCCGTCAGCAGTTCTCGGGGGGGGGGGGGCGCTCTGCCTCCTGCAGACCCCAGGGGGAAAGGCCAGGCAACCTCCAAGCCGTAAGCCTCCCTTGCACTGCCCAGCTCTTGGATGTGATGCAGCCACCCCTGGCCCCAGGCCTCTGCCCCTCCACCCAGTGGTCTCCTCACTCCCCTACTAAATCTGTCAAGTACAGGCCCCTCTGCCACCAGGTGTCTCCCGCACAGCCCTGGCTCTGCCCCTGCCTGGCTGGCCTTTGGCACGATGGACGTGTTCCCCACCCAGCACAGGGCCTTGGCGGCAGCTGTCCAACTCCCACCTGATGAAGCCCCAGCAGGCAGGCATGTGGTGCTCACTGGACACGGAGACCCAGGCCCGGGAACGTGCAGTCGGTGGTGGGGGCCGCCCCTGCCCCTGAGCCGCCTGCTAACCGCTGGCCCTGGAGCCCAGGTCTGCTGCCGGCTCAGCGCCCCCCGTGGTCTCCATGGATGTGTGCAAACCTGATGATCACCCACCCGCCTCCTCGCTGGGGGCCTGGGGCCGGGCAGTCTGGGCATTCTCACTAAGCCTCTGAGTGGACTCCCTGCCCCCAGCTGCGTTCATCTGTCTGTCTCTCGGGGGGCCCGGGGGTCTCACCTGGCTGGCACGGAGACCTGGGGCAGGAAGGAGCCCTCCAGGGGCAGTGGCTGGAGGGGCCAGAATGAGGCCCACCTCCTCCGAGCCTACCAGGGCCTCCCCTCCAGAGCCCCCCCGAAGCTGGGGTGACCTGCAGGCTGGCGTGGAGGCTTCTGGAAGCCTCTGCCCCCACAGTCGGCTCTGCAGCCCCAAGGGGCCAGCGTCACGGGCCTCCCCCCCCTCCACCAAGCGGGAGAGGTTGCCCCCCCGCAGCCCCCCAGAGCCGGTGGAGCAGCTGCTCCTGAGCTGTTGCCAGGGCAACCGCCAGCCGCGTCTGCATGCGACAGGGGCTCCGGGGGGCTCACGGCCCAGCGACAACCGTGACGCAGGAGCAAAGTGCCCTGGGCCGCAGGGACAAGGCTCCCTGTGTTTGCCACCTGCAGTCCCCCCTGGCGGTCCCCCGGGACTGGCCCCAGAGACAGAAAGGTGCCGTCTGAGTCCAGGCTCAGATGAAGAAACTGAGGCTTAGAGAAATGCCCCAAGTCAGAGCCAGCAAACAGCAGGCCTGGACTCGGCATCTAGGATGGCCCGAGTCAGGGCTCCGGGGGCCAGCCACCCCGACGCTAGCTGTGGCTACCCCACCTGCCTGTGATCCCTCCCTGCCCACCCTCAGCCTGTTGCCAGCACCAAGGCAACAGCAAGGGCTGTGCACAGCTGTCCCCTGCACAGGTGCCAGGAAGAGGTGGCTGGCACTCACGCTGGGGCCCAGGCCCCTGCAGCTCTCCTGGAAACCCTGAGCGCACACGCAGCTGATTACCCCGCTGCCCGTGACAACCACCTGTCGTGGAGGCCTCTGATCGCGGCCCGGTCAGGCTCCCTGCCTCGCTCCTTGGGGTGGGCACATCCAGCCCTGTTTGTCTGTGACCAGCACAGGAAGCACTGCAGGGGCCCCCGTGTGGACAGTGACGCTGGAATCACAGTTGTGTTTGTGTAGGGAGTGGGGGACCTGGGTACCTGAGCAACAAGCAACAAGCAGACACCCCTGCCCACCCACAGCCAGGGCGGGATTTAGATTCAGACCCTACTGCCCACTCGCACGCAGGGCGGGATTCGAACCCAGGCTCTCAGGCCCAGCAGTCTCTCCTGCCAGCCCAACTCCGGGCTCAAGGAGTCTCAGGGTGGCAGGGTCCATCTTCCTAGCCCGTGTAGGTAGCGGGCTGACCGAAGAGCACCCAGGGTCCCTTCCGGCTGCAGTCTGGCCTCTGCCAGTTTGGGGGTGGGGAGTCCCTGCAGCCACCCCTTGTGTGGGGAGTCCTAGGGCGTCCATGACACACCCCGTCAACCTTTTATCCGTTTCCAGTGTTTGTCCTCCTGCTGGCCCAGCCCCCCTTCCGCAGGTGCCCTTCTTGGACCTCGGCCCCTGGGCAGGGTGGGCTTCAGCTCCGCACCCCTGAGGGCGCTGACCTCCAGGACGGTGCTCCCCCGCGCGCGAGGGCAGGCGGCGCCCACTCGGAGGACAGCGCTTGACCTGCTCCCAGGGGCCCGTCACAGCCGAACGTAGGGAGGAGCCGGGACCCTGCGTGATCGCGCGCGGACACCGGAGTCCGGGCAGGGCTCCTGGAGCGCAGACCAAGGTTCTGGGTCCTCCCTGAGGGCGCCTCTTACCTGTCGCTACTCACCTGTCCGCATCGCCATGATGCCCCTCCCCCAGACCCCACCTTCTTGGTCACCCCAGGCCGCGGGTGTCGGGGAGCCCGACCCCCCACCTCTGGCGGGGGCGGGGTCTGTGCGTGCGCACAGTGTGTGACTGTAGACCCCAGGAGCTCCGGGGGTTTGGGGGGTCGTGGGGAGCTCGACACTCGCCCGCGGCCGGGGGACGGGGGGGGAGGCTTGCAATGCAGGGATTTCGGGGAGATGCGCTGACCCAAGGCGGGGTGGGAGACGGGGGCGCCGGGGGCCCTGCCTCCGTGTCCTGGCGCCCGCCGCCGCGGCCCCTCCTCCGGGGTCCCCAGGATGGACCCCCGACCCCAGGGCTGCCCGCCGTGCGCGGTGCGCGCTCCGAGGGGCGCACGGG